GGGGGGGGGGAGAAAAAAGTGCAAAGTAGCAAGAGAATAATGCGAGGCATATTTTTCCTATTTTATCTTGTTGCCAAAGGCACTCACATGCAGACAAGCTGACCATGTATGCTTACCCCTCTGCTGGAGAAGAATATGCAACAAGCTTTCCAATCCAGATTTTTACCTGTTGGAGCATTTCTTCTGTCGCATTCAGTTTCAACTGATGTCCCTCAAGACAGATTTCTAAGTCCCGGATTTTCTCTCCTTGAGCTTCCACCTGGTCTGTAAGAACGCTCACCTGTAATATGAGAAGCACAATGCTCCTGAACTGACTGCAAACAAGTTTCGATTACCGTATACAATTAACATCCAAATGCACATTTTAACAGCAAGTTCTCTTTTAAAGTCCTCAGTGGTTTAATATTCTTGTGCACTGCAGCAACCTGCTCTATCAACACTGATAATTTTTCAGTTTTACCTATATTTTGCATTGATCCTGCACTCTTACCCCTTCTTCCCCTCAATTATTTTGTTTTAATGCAAAAAAGAAAGAGCATTTCTAGATGGAAGAATACCTATAGGTAGTCTAAGTCAGTTCACATGTAAGTCTGAAAAATCAGAAAGCTCCAAACAAGAACATAGGATACTGAAAGCATTTTATGTGGTTTTAGGTCACGCATTGCCATTTCAGGTTCCGTTGGCATTTCACTGCCTTAAAGTGGATAAATAAAACTGTTCATTTGAAAACCAACCAATCACTTCTTATAAGAGCAGAAAAACAGCTTACCTATCAATAAAGCATTCTGAAGTTATAAAGAATGCGATGAGTAAAAGGCATGTTTTAGCAGCGGCAAAGTTCTATTCCAAGAAAAATTCCCAGGCTTTGCAAGCCAAAACACGAAAGTTAAGAAGTGAGATACAATGAATCCCACGAGAAGAAACAATAAGCCACACTGGTAAAGAACTGTGGGAATGGTGGTAAAGACCGGTGAGTGTGTAGTAAGAAAAGACCAGCAACCTAATTCAACGCTTGCAAAGCTGAAACAACTATGCTCAGCAAAACATGAGAAAGATGTGGGAAAACCCTCATGTGTTAATTCCTATGTTAAGCAACACATACACTCTTTACATTTTTATTATTAATTTTTATAAAAGCCTTATTATACAAGGAAAACGTTATCTCACACAAAAAAGGAAATTTAGGTGTTTAAACTCCATTTTAAAAGAAAGGCGTTAACAAACTTATCTATGCTCTCACATCCAAACCCTTGCAACACTTTTAATTAAAAAAACCAGGAAGTAATGGATCTGAAACCCTTAAGATGTACCCACTGTGCAGCACCTCTGAAACCCAATCAATGAACAATTAAGTTCACTTCAGAGAAGCTGCAGAGGGAGTGACTGAGTGATCTGTATTTGTTTTACCTGCAAACATTATGACAAGCATGCCTAGGAAATGAGAACAGAAAAAGAAAACAGGACTTTTTTATTTTTTTTGCCTTTAAAGTAGTTGGCTGTAGGGTGCAGTACAGATGAAAGCAGGATGAGAGGTGACAGGAAGGCAGAAGGCCGTGTGACACATCCAAGCTGGGGCAGGGGGAGAACTCCCCTCAAGAAAGTCTGTTGCTTGTCTAACTTTTTGTTTTGCTCCCACTAAGTGAGTGATGGCACACAAAAAACCCCCAGCCCTGTGAGGTCAGAAAGCAAGAAGAAACAAACTGAATCCTCTCCTTCAGCCCAGTGCGGGTTCCAGAGAAAGAAAACAAGCTCTGCTTAAAGGGTCAGGCTAGGTTCCAACCAGCACTATAACCTGTAAGGAAAACTCAGTATATTAAAAGTGACTGGCAAAGGAATTTAGTAGAACCTGAGCAGCTTTAGAGGCACGTGTTGGATGTTCCAGTCGTTAGGCACATTAGACACTTTGAGCTCATATTTTCCCCTCTGTTCAGAATCACATCTGCCAGACTCTTCAGGGAATGAGTAGGCTGCAGACAACATAACCCCACTGTATGCTGCACTGGCAAGTCCATCTTGCCTTAGTAGTGCAACACCCACAAGAGTCAGCCTGAAGATAATACAGAAGCGAGACATATTGAAAATATTGAAAAAAATCACACTTAGTGGACACTGCCTGTGCTCACTGTAAGGTGCCTTGTACTGCTTCTTCTGCAGCTTCTTCTGCACAAGAGCGCTCCCAGTCTCATGCTCCGTGCAGGCTACAGCCATGGACCACAGTCACCGGCACAACTCAACGTGAGCTATAGAGCAGAGGTGCTCTGTTTCCCATCACTTTCTCATCCTTCCTGCGAGGGTCACACTCAGGAACCAGGTTTGGTCACACCCAGAGGCCAGGTTTGTACTAGCACCCCCCTTCAGGCCAGCATAACCTTAACATGGGACATGCCTGTGTTCCTCATATTCGACTGCCTTTTTGTTGCTGTGGTGTTCATCTACCAGACTGAGGCTTCCATCTACCTTACTTGCCTGGGGGTTTTGGAGTTCTACAGCAATACTGTGCTGTGGGATAGGAAAATATATAAATATTGACTAAGCCTCCTGATTCGATGGAGGAGCGATGGGGGTAAAAGGCAAGAGACGGAGCAATTCTACATCTGATTTTACTGCATTCCTTTTGAGAAAAATTCTAGGCAGGTTTCCAAACCACGTCATAAAAATCCCCTCTTTGCAAGTTTGGCTGGTTGCATTCTATCAGTATCTATTCATGCTGCTGAAGAAACTGCTACTAAAAATTAGCTGGAAAAGCACATAGTGAGCAATAGCCTGGAAGAGTCTTTGTGAACTTAAAACGTTCTAGGACTAGCAGCCCTGTTAAACGCACAAAAGCTGGTACCCTTGGAACACCATGATTCTGGTAAATCTGTACAAGCCCACGAGCACACATGAACGTCAACAACTGACTCTAGAGCACGAACCACATCCAAGATGACAGTGGCTGTCATGTGTAGACAAAGACTATAGTTCTATACACACATGATGAAACAAAGGAGACCTTCAGGGACGAAGCCACAGGTGCATCAGTGCAACTCTCTGGTTCTGAGCAAACAGCTGGGTTTGGCCTCCCAATAGTTGCCGCAATTAGAGTTGGTCATGTGTGTGAGTGAACTGTGTGAGAAGCGAAGGTACTGCGGGAAAAGTTGTTTGCTATTATTAATGGAATCAAGACATTACAGTGAATAACAGGCGTTCTAATAAATATCAGTTGTGATGTCTCCCCTAACCTGATTCCCTCTCAGAAAACAGGGAATTTGCAGCACACGCTTAAACTTCAACCAAAAGGTTTTTTTTCTCTCTAAATTTGGTAATAGCATTTTTAGTTTAATAGTAACAAAAAAAAAAACCTAACTAAGCCTAAGCTTATGCTTCCCAAACTGCTTATTTTACAGCAGCGGTGAGAATCTTGCTCAGTAAATTTACACAAGTATGAACAGAACATGCAGGATAAAACATGCTCACAGAAACTAGTAACTGAGAGCAGGGAGAACACCTACCCAGTATACTTAATTTTTGTTTGATATATTTGCTTATAATACACTTTTGTAAGCATAAAGAATATGCAAAATTATTTAAAGAGTCTCCAGCTTTGGTTTTAAAAAGCATTAAGTAATACTAAACATAAAATAATTTTTTTTTTTTTTTCCCGGAGAAATTGTACAACATGTATTTTTTCCAGGAGGAAAACTTATATGGGACAGCGTATATGTTTGAAAAAGGCTTGGTAAACTGACAAATGGGAAACCTGGGAGATCTTAGGCATCCATTTTATGGCAAAATTTTCTTTTTCCCCCTTAACCTCCCTTCTTAAGCTTTTTGATTACGTAAAGCAACTTTGGTACAGTATATAAGCAGGAAAAATACCAGTTCTATCTACCTGAAAGTCTTCTAGTTAATTAAAAAAGGTGGCACACAGAACCTAGAAAAACTCAAACTAGTAAACCTAGAATGTGATCTATTACTGCAGCATTGTCTGGGGACTCCACAGAATTATTTTCAAGTGTTTTTCCTTTGTCACTATTCTCCCTCTTACTGCTGTTACTCCCCTCTCCTTTACCATGTTACCCCATCAGGAAATCAGTCAGAGGGATTATACAAATTATAAATTCCTGAGTAAATATCAGTTGCATTTGGCGACCTACTAAGATTTGTTTACCAGAAGATACTCTGCAACTTCAGCATTTATTCACTGAATATCAAGTACATAGACAATGTTCTCTTTAGACATACCTGCAGTATGAGCGACTCTTTATCTCCTTCTAATCGCGCCAATCTTTCTTGATAAGTTTCATTATTAGATGAATGATGATTCACCTGTGACTGTGAGAAATTTTACAGTTAATATTAACATATCAAACAAGAGTTAATAAAAAGTGGTATCTATTGGAAGATTGTTATAACACAAAATATATGCAAAATCTGTCTCTAGACCAAATCTGTTTATTTCATATACATTAAAACTTTGGAATACACCTTTTTTTAACTAGATTTTGGATACTTTCTCATTTCCAGCAATCAAGAATGACATGGGAATAGATTTTGTATTTTCTAGCAAAGTATCATTTCATTGGGAAATACCATCTTATCAACACAAAAACCATTTCATTTGAAGTATCTGGTCTCAACAGTCCTTTCCCAAAGTCAAGGAATCTTGATGTTTATTTTTAAATGGAAAAAACTGCCACATGTATTATACTATTTCTAGGAATTATTGAAAGAAAAGTGCAAAATTTTTGTTAGCAATTAAATTATTTAGATTACCAAATTCTTATCAGGAACTACTCTAGGTATGTAATCACTTATGGATTCCTAAATGGCTGTAAGAAGCAAGACCTCTAAACCATGCTCCAGTGAGAAACACCCCAATAAAAACCCCAAACACTATAGATTTATTTTTGAAAATTTAGAAGAATCCCATGGCTTCATCCTGCATGCTAAAACACTGTGTAACTGTGCATCAAAAGTATCACGAGCCCTTAGCAGTTCATTTCCCAGCTCCATTGCAGGCAATGCATTTCTGCCAGGGAACGGGACGCTCCGGCTGGCTTTTCAAAGAATCCACCTTCACTGAGATCCATTCAGCTGCACTAGTCTGCATCTGACTGCTCATTCATAGTTATTTGTACAATGGTACCTATGTAATTATAATCCTCCTCTCCAACTGTCTTTTCAACTGAACATTTGTGAATAGGATTTTAAAAAAGAATATTCATGGCTTCTTGACCTCCGGAGGTCTACAGGCCCAAGTGTAGAACAGAAGAGGAAGATAAACACAGAGATGATTAATGCAAATCAAGAAATCCAGTATTTATGCAATCAGAAGACACTTTTTTAAACCATAAAGTGATGAACTAGACATAAGCGTGATATCTTTACGAGCTGAAAGGAACTGAGCACCCTTGTCTCTGCTAACTTTGAAAGGAATTGAAAGAATCACAAAGACAAAAAACCAAACAGGACTGAAACGTGTATGTCTATCTAGATTAATCCTTTGACCTCAGCTATGCATCCTCAATCATACTGCCAGCCATTCCAGTTGGGCTCTTACTCCGCTTAAAGAAAAAAGACCTACATGGTACTTCAGAATCCAAACTCTTTAGCCTTGCTGGCTATGTTTCCATGAGGGTTAAAACTCTGTTACATAACATTAAACAAGTTTTCTCAATGTAGAGCCCACAGGCCTCCCCCAGTATGTCTTTGGCTCACACACAATGGAAGGGGAGACTTTCCTGCACCTGGAACATTAAGTATCCAGGGAAGAACAGCACACTGCTAGGCACAAAAAGATTGTATAATGACAAAACCTAGCGATGAAGACTGCCTAGTCAAAAATATTTTTGCACCCTTTCTCCTGCCATCATTTGGTATTTTCCTAGGCTAGATTTACAAAATATACCTGTAACCACTTGTGTAGCCACTCCCCCCGGCCTTACAGGAACAGTGAGTTAAATTACTGCCAACACAATTTTACATAACCGGTCTGTCATGAATGCAAAACAGAGTTCAACATTTTATATAATAATTAATAATTACTTCAACATCATATCACAAATAAGATATTTTACTACACTCACATTTACCAAATGTAGACTTCGATGATGTCTGCTGCAGAGTAACTGTGAAATATCCTCTGCTAAAAGCCTGTGTTAAGTCCAGTGAATCACACTCATGAACAGAAAAGGGGGAAGGAAAAAAAAGTCAATCCTGCCAACAGGTCAGCCAGAGAGTGCTCAGATAAGTACAGGAAAGTACAGTAGACAGAAAATGACCTGCTAAATAAAAAATGGCTGATTGACACACAGCAGTTGTTTAAGACTTGGGAAATCTTTGTGGCATGCATAAAGACAAGATAAAACAATGTAATATGAACCAAGGCCATCTGTGGATGGTTGGAGTGCACTCCGCAGTTGTGAAAGTCAGTACTGAGAAGAAACTGAGCAAGTATAGTTGGATATCACACGTATCAGCAGCAGCTGAATATAGGACCTATAACACTAAAGTCATAAGACTACAGACGACTCATGTTGGTGTAAACAATAAACACTAGACTTGTGCAACTACATGACGAAAAGGTTGAATCACCAAGATTTTCTACATAGATATTATTTCTGAAGATGTATCCTTAGAGTCCAAAACTCATTACCTGGGATCCACAAATTATAAGCTAAATATGTTAATCATATTTCTTATAAGGAAAGACTGTGAGAAATCACATAGAACAAGTAAAAAAGTTTATGATAACACATGATGACAGAGTAGAAGATATTATATGCGAAATAAGGTGGTTGAAACTACATTGATGGTAGTACCATTGCAGATGAAAAGTCCAGTGAGTACAATAAATACTTGGCCTAAGGGTACTGCAAAGCAATTTCTTGAAGCACCTGTATTATAGTCTCCTTAGAGATTTTGGATATAGTTTAATGCCTATCAGATTGCATCAGATATGAATGTAATATGGTCCCTGAAACGATTCCAAATCAACTGTTTCTCCTGGTTCTACACAAAAGACAAAAAAGAAAAAAAAAAAAAAGCTTTTGCATGTTATCATCTGCTTCACTTTCTTCCTCATCTTTAGTTTCCAAATCTCTCTCTGGAATATGCTCTTTACTCTAACACAGACGTAATACTGGCAGCTTTTGGAAACTTGACTGTCTAAGTGTCACTTACATGATCCAGTCATTATAGAGTCCTTCTCCAAGAGAAAAGCTTAAATATTCCTCCATAATATATGACACAGAAAAAAAAAATCAGACTTCAGAGTATGATTTTAACAGCTTTGATTTAAAATGGGAATAATCAGCAAAAATATAAAAGGGTATGGCAAGAAAGGGAATAAATGTTTGATTGACTCAGGTATTTGAGAGACTTCTCAGAGTCCAGTAAGCATGGACTGTTATGTTTCCTTGCATGTTATTTTAATAGGAAATAATTGAGAATGCAGCTTGTTGTCAGAACAGAATGACAACCACTGCACGCACTTCTGTACAGATGTTCTGTTCAGAAGGTTCTGTAATAGGATGTTTAGTTGAATCTTGATAGGCTGTAAAAGTAAGCCCCTTAAAGTAAGCACATATGCAAGGTAATAAAGTTTATGTTCTCCTCATGTGCTGTCTCAGTTTCAGCTCAAGGAATCTCCAACACAGCTAATTTTAAAACAAAATATACTTCTCAGGTTGATATGCAAACTGTTAGACAGAAATTTGTCACTAATATCATGGACCCTGTATTGGGCTGTGGAGGCAGGAGGAACTGGGAAAAGACAGCTGGCAGTCAGAGTAGTGATTTATAATCTTTTTCAGCAAGCCACCCGCCTCTTTTAGAAGACAGATTATGTCATAACCCGCCCCTCTGATTCAGTCACGTGAATCACCTTCAGTTCCACTGATAATAAGATGTCTGTGGCAACTATAATACTTGCCACAGTGGGGACAAGTTAATTAGTGGGGAAGATTAGAGACATGCTTGATGTATTATCATTTGTTGCAGTTTAGAAGCTGAAAACAAGGAGTATAGCCAGCAGAGTTCAGTCAATCAGTTTTCCTGCAAACTACCAGCAGCACACAGACCATAGTAATGAAATTAACGCTATAGACATTTTTCAGCCTATTTGAAGTTGATAATATTTAGAAGAGGATGGATTTTCCAACTCTTCAGTACTCTTTTGGGTCAGCAGAACTGACGTTCTGAGTCACAGGAGTTGCTATTGTGTAGTGATGAGTGAGTAGCCTACACTGTAAACATTCTTATTTTGGTACCTGCCTATGGATCCACTACAGATTTAATTTCTTGGCACGTTAGCACTACCTCAGATACACACCCATCTGAATATATGTATGTTCACTCAGTGTACTTGATGAGGAGAAGGCTGGAACAAGATTTATGCATCTATAATTCTTGCCATTCATCTGAAGGCAATTAATAAATCAACAACAGGATTTTCCATTTGCTTTGTTGGTTAAGTGAAGGTGGCAGTCACTCTGAAAAAGCTAACAGCATACGGTCCGAAATTAAGAAAAGATAGAGCTGAGGAAATTTTCTTCCAGAGCCAAGACTTTCCATTTTGCTGCATTCCCTCCACTGCAGTTCGAATAGCTCAGTTAATTTACAATGTCCTTAGAGAGCCCATAACACTGTTTGTAGCAAATATTAGCATTTATGTTTGTGATGCTTGTTAATAATTTGTGGTTATACATGCACGCCTATGTACAAAAATGAAGGCTGTGCCATTTTTAATTGGAATGGTATGTTCTACTAAAGACCAGATGAAAAGATAAGAACAAAGCAACAGGACAAAAGATTAAACTGTATGTGAATCTTCTAAATCACATCCCTTGAGAGAACAAAAGAAAGTCTGCTAAAGATGAGACACTTTCAGCTTCAGGTAGTTGGGGGGTCTCAGGTTCCTCAGCCTTCAGCAGAAACTTTTAACAGTCATAGATTTCTGCTTAAGGTCTGTAAGAGAACCCAGCATCAGTTATCTGCAAAACACCAACAACTTTATGAAAACTATGCCGCTGCCTTAGCTCTCATAGGGTGGTAATATGTGCTTACAGCAGATATTCCGATTTTCAGCTAGTATAAGGTAACTGGGGCAGTTCTGAAATTTTCATCAAAGTACCACATGCCATGAAGTACAGTATAGCTGTACGCAGGGCAGAGTTTTTTCTTTCTGATATTAGGTAAGATATTATCAGAGAAAGTTCTTTCTCTTGTGAGAAATATGACTGCTGACTAGTAATTTTTATTACTGGCAAAAGGCAGAAAAAAGTACAATGGAGAAAAACAGTAAGCAAAGGAAAATACATTAACTGTGCCTC